GGTTTTAATATGAATTAAAATCTGAATGTTCCATAAATAAGCATTTTGAAAACATTTAGAAAACAATAACCTAAAACGTAAACTTGTACAGTGGATGGATGCAGCGCACAATGCTCACGATTTCAGGCACAAGGTGTCGCTCTTTACTGAGGAACGACTTCGTTCATAGGTTGGTTTGAACAGTCAGAAACCCCTCATACAAAAAGACTCCGTCATGCTGGATGCTACTGCTAGAAGATCCTTTGAAACTTATCAAAATTCACCGAGAACTTAACTTGAGCGGAAGTATCTGGTTTTGTCAGTGCAAAGAATCTTAATTTGGAAGCCAATTTCGTATGCAATGCTCGGTTTTCAGAGAAGAGGACTGAACACTTTGCGACTACTGCTCTCATTTCTGCTCCTCTCAACTTGGGAGGCGGGGAGCGGCCAGCTGCACTACTCGGTCCCCGAGGAGGCCAAACACGGCACCTTCGTGGGCCGCATCGCGCAGGACCTGGGGCTGGAGCTGACGGAGCTGGTGCCGCGCCTGTTCCGGGTGGCGTCCAAGGAGCGCGGGGAGATTCTGGAGGTAAATCTGCAGAATGGCATTTTGTTTGTGAATTCTCGGATCGACCGGGAGGAGCTGTGCGGGCGGAGCGCGGAGTGCAGCATCCACCTGGAGGTGATCGTGGACAGACCGCTGCAGGTTTTCCACGTGGAGGTGGAGGTGAAGGACATTAATGACAACCCGCCTGTGTTCTCTCTCAAAGAACAAAGGCTGCTGATTTCTGAATCTAAGCAACTAGACTCGCGTTTTCCGCTAGAGGGAGCCTCTGACGCGGATATAGAAGAGAATGCTGTATTGACCTACGGACTAAGCCAAAACGAGTATTTTTCTCTAGAATCACCAGTGAGTAGTGGGTCGACTAAAAGACTGTCCCTTAAATTAAAAAAACCTCTAGACAGAGAAAAAACTCCCCAACTTAAAATGCTATTGACGGCCACAGATGGCGGAAAACCGGAACTGACTGGCACGGTTCAACTGTTTGTCCAAGTCTTGGATGTTAATGACAATGATCCAGAGTTTGATCAATTAGAATACAAAGTTAAACTGGTGGAAAACGCTACTAAAGAAACTCTTGTGATAAAGTTAAATGCCACAGATAGAGATGAAGGCATGAATGGGGAGGTAACATACTCCTTGAAGTCAGTTAAGCCTAACGGGAGATCCTTCTTCACACTAGATGAAAGTAATGGAGAAGTGAGGGTAAATGGAACTTTAGATTATGAAGAAAATAAATTTTATGAAATTGAAGTGCAGGCTACAGATAAGGGGAATCCCCCAATGGCGGGTCACTGTACAGTTTGGGTAGAAATCTTAGACATCAACGATAACTCACCAGAAGTGACTGTGACTTCCTTGTCCCTCCCAGTGCGTGAGGACGCTGAGCTAAGCACTGTCATTGCATTGATTAGTGTTTCCGACCTCGACTCCGGGGTCAATGGCCAAGTCACCTGCTCTTTGACGTCCAAAGTTCCTTTCAAGATAGTGTCCACATTCAAAAACTATTATTCGCTGGTGCTGGACAGCCGTCTGGACCGAGAGAGTGTTTCAAACTATGATTTGGTCGTGACCGCTAGAGATGGGGGCTCACCACCGCTGTGGGCCTCGGCCACCGTGTCCGTGGAGGTGGCCGACGTGAACGACAACGCGCCCCTGTTCGCGCAGCCCGAGTACACAGTGTTCGTGAAGGAGAACAACCCGCCGGGCGCCCACATCTTCACGGTGTGCGCGCGCGACGCGGACGCGCAGGAGAACGCGCTGGTGTCCTACTCGCTGGTGGAGCGGCGGGTGGGCGAGCGCGCGCTGTCGAGCTACGTGTCTGTGCACGCGGAGAGCGGCAAGGTGTTCGCGCTGCAGCCGCTGGACCACGAGGAGCTGGAGCTGCTGCAGTTCCAGGTGAGCGCGCGCGACTCTGGGGTGCCTGCCCTGGGCAGCAACGTGACTCTGCAGGTGTTCGTGCTGGATGAGAACGACAATGCGCCCGCGCTGCTGGGGCCCCAGACCGGTGGTGCGGTGAGCGAGCTGGTGTCGCGGTCAGTGGGTGCGGGCCACGTGGTGGCGAAGGTGCGCGCAGTGGACGCTGACTCTGGCTACAACGCGTGGCTGTCCTATGAGCTACAAGCTTCCGCAGGTGGTGAGCGCAGCCCGTTCCGCGTGGGACTGTACACTGGCGAAATCAGCACGACGCGCGCCCTGGATGAGATGGATGCACCGCGCCAGCGCCTGTTTGTGTTGGTGAAGGACCATGGCGAACCTGTGCTGACCACCACTGCCACCTTTCTGGTGTCGCTGGTGGAGAATGGTCAGACTCCAAAGTCCTCGTTGCGGGCACTGACTGGGGACACAAGCCCGGAAGTGACGCTAGTGGACATCAATGTGTACCTGATTATCGCCATCTGTGCAGTGTCCAGCCTGTTGGTGCTAACGCTGCTGCTGTATACGGCGCTGCGCTGCTCGTCGGTGCGTACTGTGGGCACTTGTGGGCCTGCGAAGCCCAGGCTAGTGTACTCGAGCGCCGTGGGGAGCTGGTCATACTCGCAGCAGAGGGGGCAGAGGGTGTGCTCTGGGGAGGGCCTGCCCAAGAAGGACCTCATGGCCTTCAGCCCCAGCCTTCCTCCTGGTTTGAATGGAGAAGACCAGGGAGAAAAGCAGGATCCAGGATCAAATGACCCTGCACAGGTGAGTTTTCTACAAATTTCACCTGTTCTGGAAGTCTTTGTGAAATTATTTGTAACCCATTTTTTAAAAAATACACTGTGTGTGTGTGTGTGTGTGTGTGTGTGTGTGTGTGTGTGTATTCAGTGCTCCTCGGGAATGATCTCAGGTGCTTGCCACTGAGCTATATCCTAAATTCCTCTAAAATTTTTTTTGAAAAGGCATCTTTCTAAGTCGATAATTGGTAAGTATTCTGTATTTTAAAGATTTTCGTTAACAGTGTTAGAATGTCAGATGATACATGTATCCAATCTTTAATCATATGAATACTTAGGTGTCTTTTTTTTACTTAGTTTTCTTTAACTGATCAATATTCCATTGTAATGTATGATTGGAAAATATTAAAAGAAAAAGGTTACAAACACAATTCTTTATTGTTACTCAGCTAAAACTAATCATTAAATTTTATTGAACTATCATTACTAGATGATGGAAATCTTTCTTTTTTCTAAAGTCTTAAACCAAAGTATTTGTGTAGAACAAATGCCATTAAAATTGTATAAATTTGAAGCTATATAAAGGCAAGGATAACATATACTATGCTTGATGTTATTCTCCACCATAACTAGGGTAGCTTCTATCATAAATTACTTTGAAGGTTATTTAACGGCAAACTTTGAAGCAGAAAATATTTTTAAATACAAAATAACAAAAATGTTTTGTTGTTCATATATATAGATATGTGTATATTAGCTAAATAAGCCTTTGTAAATGACCCATGAAAAATATCCAAAAATGAAACAGAATTTAGAGTGACCCAGGAAGTGGCTAATCCAAAACAAACCTCAGGATTTTTTTTGTCTTTTTGAGACAGGTTCTTTATGCAGTTCAGGCTGGCCTTGAGCTCACTTTGTAGCCAAGGCTGGTCTGGAACTCGTAACGATCCTCCTGCCTCAGTCTCCCAAATTATGGGATTACAAGCACCTCAAGAATTTTTTTGCATTTATATAATCAGTCACAGGAGTTTCCTATATACTGAAAAGGTGAAAAAGGAAAGCTTTGTGTACCCAGACTACAACCATTCACAAAATCGGATTGTTTCATTTACTGGAATGCTGGATGAAACCTATTGAATGTATACTTACTGATTGATCATAAAAGGTCTCAATGCCTGCTTGCCCTGAAACTGACAGTTCTACCTCAGAGAGCCTCATGATCTGAAATGACATTTATCTGGGGAGGAGGCCTGGAATACAGGCTGGATTCAGTTCCCCTCCTTGCAGGGAGGGTAGCAGGGAGTGACCAGAGCCACTACTTAGGGGCCAAACATCTCATGGGCTGCATTGCACAGGACCTGGGACTGGAGCTGGCGGAGCTGGTGCTGTGCCTATTTTAGGTGGCATCCAAACACCACTGGACCTTCTGCAGATAGCTTCGCAGAATGGCATTTTTTGGGGCGAATTCTAAGATGGATTGTGAGGAGCTGTGTGGGCAAAGCATGGAGTGCCTGGAAGTAATCTGCCTGGACAGCTACTGCAGGTTTTCCACGCAGAGGTAGTGGCGAAGGATGTTAATGACAACCCGCCTATGTACAGATGAAGAGAACAAAACAAACATTTCTAAATCTAAACCACTGGGCACTAACTTTCCTCTATGGAGCACTTCTGGTGCAAATATAAGCATAAGTTCTAGCCTATGTGTTAAGACTGAAGGAGTATTTTGTGCTTAAATAACAACAAAGAGATAAAAGCACATTGTCTATATTAATTCTTTTGAAATCATTGGATATGCAGGAATCATCAGAAATTAATTTATTGCTGATAAATTGCTGATGGTTGTTAATGGCAGTAAAGTGGAGCTGACAGGATCTGCTTAGATTCAAATAACCATCCTGGATGTAAATGACATCAAACTAGAATTTTATAAACCTATTTATAAAGTAATGTTGTTTGAAAATGTCCCAAACATTACAATGATTCAACTAAGTGCTTCTGAGTTAGATAAAGGCCTGAACAGAGAAATTTCCTATGGAATCAGAATAATTTTGCCTGTGAGTAAGAAATATGTGTTTGCAGTAAATCTAGACTTAAGCTAATGAGAACTTATGTGGAGTTGGATTTTGAAGAGAATAATGCTTATGAAACTCAAGTTAACACTACTGATAAAAGAAATCCTTCCATGGTTGGTCAACATATAGCAAATAACCCATATGGAAAACATACAACAATTATTATTCCTAATTTATGAACAAGAAGCTAGAAATTTAAGCCACAGAAATAGTAAGAAGTGAGCTTAAACCTAGTTTCAGAGAATCTCAAACAGTTATGGTACATTATTGCTCTGTACCTTTTATCAGATCAGTTTTGTAAAATATGTAAAATCTCATGACTTTCATTTTAAAAATATTTAGAGACTTCTCTTTGATCAGAAAATAGAATCTTACATCCCTCTGCTTGGTATAGAAGACATTACATTTTTAACCTTTTTTCTATTTTCCTACCTTTTAGTTGTGGATCTGAAAAATTTTCAATATGTATATGCTAATGAAACGAATACCAGAACAGTTCTGTGTTGGTTACTTTTCTCTTGATGCTGAGACAAAATACCCAATGCCAAAAATTAAGGAAGGAAAGGTTTATTTATCTCACAGTTTGTGGAGGTTTCATGACTGGCTCTAAGGGAGCATGGCATGTGGCAGAGGAGCAACAGTTCATGGCGGTGAAAAATAGCAAAAGCAACAAGAGCTAAAAGGAGGAGCTTGACCAAAGACTCTTTCTGTCCCTTATATTGTATGTAGGTTACCCACCCTAGTGTGGGTGTATCATTCACACCCATAACCCCAGCATTGGATTATGAATCAGTCACAAACACTAGGACCCTGCCCCATGACTGCATGAGGCTTTGAAGGGCCATCCAGACACAGACCATAAAAGTTCCATTTTAGAAGTGGAGTAAAGTCAAGAGGTTAGGCAATGTTTTAGTCAAGAGTGAGTATAGATAACATTCAATTAAAAAATATTACAGACGAAGAGATGAGTATGAATAAACAAGCCAAGTTTTCTCTGGTGACTGTGTACTATAAGGATTAAAGCAGAGGAGATTCTAAGGCAAGAAAGCTAGGGAAAGGGTCTTTTACAACAATTTAAGTATCAGCTGATAGAGACTTACATTATGGCAGTAGAAATGGATTGCAATATTCACATACAAGAGGTATTAACAAGAAGGAAGCAGCCAGACGGTGACTGACTCAATGCAAACAAAAGAAAGTTCTTGGTTGACACTCATTCCTTTGGTTTGGTCAACTGGAAGAACAAGATGGCCTTATGCAAAATGTGGAGCAGAACTGAAGAAACAATTCATGCATGTTTGTTCAGGTTGGAAATTAAATATTTGAGAAAATGTTTCTTTTAAGGTTCTAGAAGAATACCATTGTGACCAGAAATTTGGCCTGCAACTCAGGAAATTATAGTATAAATTTTGGAGTAATTTCATTACATAAAAAATTTAAATCCATGAAATGATACATTCACCAAGAAACATTTAAAAATGAGAAATAAGATGTTTTAAAACATGTAGGTGAGTGATTGTGTTAGTTTCTTGGCCTGCTAGAACAAGTGACACTTAAAGGGTTATATAAGACAAAAAAAATTTATTCTTTCCTGGTTTTGGGGGACAGAAATTCAAAATCAAGATGTTACTATGGCTCTTCTCCTTCTCCAGGCTCCAGTGTAGAATCTGTTCTGTGCTTCTTTCAGTTTCTGGTGGTTATTAGTGTTTCCTGGCTTGTGATTATACCTCTCCAATATATGGTCATGACATCACCTTATCTTCCCCATGTCTTCTCTGTGCGTTTATTTTTCATGGGCACATGTGATTGCACTTCTAGCTTGCTGAATATTCCAGGATAAACTGATTTCAAGATATTGTTTTTTCATAACATTTGTAAAATAATATTGAGAAATTCTGAGTCTTAAATGTGGGTGTATCTTTTGAAGGACCACTGTTCAACCAATTTCAATAGGCTTTAAATCATCAGGAGTCTAAATAATGTGTAACTGAAATAAAAGGCAAAGTTAAGCATAAGTAAATTTGTGCAAATTTAAATAAAATTGATAAATCCCAAGTGAAGGGAAAGCAATAATCAGAAATTTTATATACAAATAAATGTATTATACCTGTGTAAAGGGAAGTCTAAGATGTTACATAGAAATGTTAGAAGTATTTGAGTATTTTGTTGTTTGATGGGAAGAGAGACACACTAAAGATAAGACAGACCACAGAAGAATGAACACAGAGATAAAACATATCAAGGAGAATGAAACATAATGTTTTCCAGAGCATAAGTTGACCTTAAATGTAAGGATAGTTTTTCCTTTGGACTAACCAGGGATGAAAATTAGAAAATATAAAGGAAAGTTTGATATAAGAAATGAGCAATCAACTTCATGTTTTACAACTTTTCTCTCTGTGGGAAAATCATCTGAAAGTTGATGGAAATAAGGTAGGGAATTTGAGAAGAGAAGAAAGAAATCATGCAAGAATTTCTGCAGGCAAGAAGGAAGAATTTATTCAGTTGAAGGTCCAATTTAGGTAAATGTGTGAGTAAACATGTAGAGAATATATGCCATCATGGTTAAGTAATCAATAGGAAGAATAGAGAAAATTAGGTTAGTTACATGTTGGAAACTAATGAGTATATTAGAGTGGTTTCAGGGTGTCTGGAAAAGCATGTTTTAAGTAGTTGAATAATTTAATGAAGAAATGATAGGCTATCATAGGGACTGATAGACAAGAAGCACTAAAAAGAATCAGGATTATTCCCATTATAAGAGTAAAATATGAAGTAATGGAGCAGGACAGAATAGTAAGAATAGGCAAGAGAACACTTAATATGTTACATAAATTTTAGAAGTGAACAAAGGTGCAGAAATGAACCCAAATGTCATTTACTATAGAGTTATTCACAGAATAGTCATGATAGTATATTTTTATTGTTCATTTAACCTGGAAGTTTGTGACTTGATAATGATAGCAATAGATAAAAATTCCTCCTTTCTTCCCTAGCTAAAAATGTGTTAATATCTTTTTCTTGTTCTTGTTACATACTTGGAATATCATAATCAATGTAAATAACAGTAAGGTTTTCCCTAATGATGATGAAAAAATACATAGAGAAAAGACACGACTTATTGGTAGTAATTCAAGTTCTATTAAGTGCATAGGATTTTAGTTCCTGGTATGTATTTTTTCAAAGATAACTCTAAACTTGAAAACATTGTTGTCTGAACAGTTTCACAGACTTACATGCAATAAACTGTATCCCTACAAATACAAATGTTTTATTTTATACTTCATAGTCATTCAGAGGAATTTATAGGTATTGTGTACTTATTAAAATATGGCACATCCTTACCAATATCTTCCACCTTCATCTGTTTTTTGTGATTGTTATTTTCCATTTTGGATTAGTAGATGTAAGGTCATAAATAATACTACTAATAATAGCTGTAAAAAGGTCTTTAAAATACTACCACAAAGAACAAAACTACCATGGCTATGAGGACTAGAGTCCCACTGATCCAAAGTCCCCTCTTTTAAAAATGTGCGTGAAAATTTTTCACACGTAAAAATAAATTTGTGGAAAAATGGAACAGATTGACCAACTGTCAGCTAACATCAAATGCTGAGTAGAACACAGTGATTTACTGTTTCTAAAAAGGTGAGTATTTAACTCCAATTACACATTTGCAGTGAAAATTCAAGAAATATAAAGAAAAAGGAAACACATCAATGCAAAGTATGTAGACTGAGTCATTCTTACACTTACACATTTATGCGCATGGTGTCGCTCTTCACTGAGAACGTTTTTGCCAAGAAAGCCACTGATCCTTCCTTCCTCTATGAAATTTGCCAGATCGTAAAAACTCCGTTTCGAATTCTTCCGCACTAGGAGGCCATAAAATTGGTCTTTGAGAAGCAATTTAAGGTAAGGCATTCAATATTTAGTATCTATCTGAAGATTTTGCATGTATTATGCGGTTTACCTGGAAAGGAGGCCCAGGCACCTGGCCTCTGCTGCTCTCGCTGCTGCTCCTCGCAGCCTGGCAGGCGGGGAGCGGCCAGCTGCACTACTCGGTCCCCGAGGAGGCCAAACACGGCACCTTCGTGGGCCGCATCGCGCAGGACCTGGGGCTGGAGCTGACGGAGCTGGTGCCGCGCCTGTTCCGGGTGGCGTCCAAGGAGCGCGGGGAGCTTCTGGAGGTAAATCTGCAGAATGGCATTTTGTTTGTGAATTCTCGGATCGACCGGGAGGAGCTGTGCGGGCGGAGCGCGGAGTGCAGCATCCACCTGGAGGTGATCGTGGACAGACCGCTGCAGGTTTTCCACGTGGAGGTGGAGGTGAAGGACATTAACGACAATCCGCCTGTGTTTCCCGAAACTAACAAAAGTATAATTATTGCAGAATCTAGACCTGTAGACTCTAGATTTCCACTAGATGGCGCATCAGATGCAGATATTGGTGTAAATTCGGCATTGACCTACCGACTGGATCACAACGATTATTTCACTTTGGACACACAAAGGAATCGTGAACAAATGTCTTTATTGTCACTTGTCTTAAGGAAAACTTTAGACAGAGAGCAAATTCAGGAACATAGTTTATTACTGACAGCCAGTGATGGAGGTAAACCCGAGCTAACCGGTACTGTTCAGCTGCTGATCAGGATTCTGGATGTAAATGACAATGCCCCAGAATTTGATCAATTCCTTTATAAAGTTAAAGTATTAGAGAACGCACTTAATGGAACATTGGTGATCAAACTAAATGCTACAGACCCTGATGATGGTACAAATGGAGATATAGTCTACTCCTTTAGAAGGCCCCTATCTCCTGCAGTGTTATATGCCTTTAACATAGATCCCAAGAGTGGAGAAATTAGGACAAAAGATAAACTGGATTTCGAAGAAAATAAATTTTATGAAATATCCGTGGAGGCAGTTGACAAAGGTAATATTCCAATGACGGGTCATTGTACCCTTTTGGTGGAAGTGGTAGACATAAATGATAATGCCCCGGAGATAACTATTACTTCTCTGTCACTGCCTGTAAAAGAGGACACTCAACCTAACGCCGTCATCGCCCTGCTTAGCGTGTCCGACCGTGACTCTGGTGTCAACGGAAAGGTGACCTGCACCCTGACGCCCCGCGTCCCCTTCAAGCTGGTGTCCACCTTTAAGAATTATTATTCGCTGGTTCTGGACAGCACCTTGGACCGCGAGAGCATATCAGCATACGAGTTGGTAGTGATCGCGAGAGATGGGGGTTCACCTTCGCTGTGGGCCTCGGCCACCGTGTCCGTGGAGGTGGCCGACGTGAACGACAACGCGCCCCTGTTCGCGCAGCCCGAGTACACGGTGTTCGTGAAGGAGAACAACCCGCCGGGCGCCTACATCTTCACGGTGTGCGCGCGCGACGCGGACGCGCAGGAGAACGCGCTGGTGTCCTACTCGCTGGTGGAGCGGCGGGTGGGCGAGCGCGCGCTGTCGAGCTACGTGTCTGTGCACGCGGAGAGCGGCAAGGTGTTCGCGCTGCAGCCGCTGGACCACGAGGAGCTGGAGCTGCTGCAGTTCCAGGTGAGTGCGCGCGACTCTGGGGTGCCTGCCCTGGGCAGCAACGTGACTCTGCAGGTGTTCGTGCTGGATGAGAACGACAATGCGCCCGCGCTGCTGGGGCCCCAGACCGGTGGTGCGGTGAGCGAGCTGGTGTCGCGGTCAGTGGGTGCCGGCCACGTGGTGGCGAAGGTGCGCGCCGTGGACGCTGACTCTGGCTACAACGCGTGGCTGTCTTATGAGCTGCAGGTTTCTGCGGGTGGCGAGCGCAGCCCGTTCCGCGTGGGGCTTTACACAGGCGAGATCAGCACGACGCGCGCCCTGGATGAGATGGATGCACCGCGCCAGCGCCTGTTGGTGTTGGTGAAGGATCATGGCGAGCCTGTGCTGACCACCACCGCCACCTTTCTGGTGTCGCTGGTGGAGAATGGTCAGACTCCAAAGTCCTCGTTGCGGGCACTGACTGGAGACACAAGCCCGGAAGTGACGCTAGTGGACGTCAATGTATACTTGATCATCGCCATCTGTGCGGTGTCCAGCCTGTTGGTGCTCACGCTGCTGCTGTACACGGCGCTGCGCTGCTCGGCGGTGCGCACTGAGGGCACTTGCGGGCCTGCGAAGCCCAGGCTGGTGTGCTCGAGTGCAGTGGGGAGCTGGTCATACTCGCAGCAGAGCGGGCAGAGGGTGTGCTCTGGGGAGGGCTTGCCCAAGACGGACCTCATGGCCTTCAGCCCCAGCCTTCCTCCTGTTCTGAGTTCCAAAGAGGAAACATTCCAGGATAATGAGCAGGCAGACCACTTGAAAGAGGTAAGCTCCTATTTTAACACACCATTTTAATGAAATCTTTTAGCCTTCCTCACAGTTGCTTACTTAGAGCACCTTTGATTTCAATTTTCAATAATTATTTTGTAAGTTAATTTTATTTTCTGTGGTCCTTTTTGTCTCTAATGGCTGGTTTTGACATTTGTGTTGAATTATTTTTCATAATGAAATCTAAGTAAGAAAGCTAATGCAATGTCTAAAACTGGAATATATTGTTGTAGTTTTAAGAGTTTTGAGTACTTATTGTATAAGAAGCATTTACAAAAAGCAAAACAAAAGCCCAATATGAGAGAATGTAAAATTTTAAAACATTGTCTTAATGAGACTAATAATAATTTTAAATTTTAAAATATCCATATTTAACATATACATATGGTCATATACATGAATTGTTTCAAACAGCTTCATTGCTTTTTATGCAAATCCCTGCTTTTCACTATAAAGTTTTTCCTTTTTGTGAAAAAGTGTTTTTGTTTGGTTCTTCTTTTCATATCCTCTAGGCATTTTACTGTTCATGTCTCAGGTATCTTATAAGTAACACTCTGTGGTTTTCCTCACATTTTTTGCACACTCAGATAATTACTCATTGTATATCTAGCAAGTGAATTTTTGTTGTTACTTAGTTTTGGGCATTTAATATATTATGAGTTTCATGTCTGATTCAGCAGTACTTATTGAAAATATCTGTAAATTTGGTGCTTTAATAGATGTGTAGTGTTCCAATAATGCAGATATATGACTGTGTGATACTGGAGGGAACATTTGGTTTCACTGGTGTTTCGTTTTGTTTTGCCTGTAATAAAAGAATACATCATGGTATCATTTTCTGCATTTCCTAAATATTGGTAATTTTATTTCTGTGTTACTATCACATGTGGAATTGTCTCAACAGGACTATTAAGAATTTTAATTTAATATATTTCACTGATTTGCTTTATAAAAATTTTATAGTTCTTTCAATTTCCATCAGCCAGTATGAGCACTTTTTTTTAATCTCCAGAAGCATGAGTTCTTACTTTCTTCCCATATTATCTTTATAACATATTGTCTCTTAATTTTTTTCATTTTTATGTACCACCAATGGATTTGAGTATATTGTTGTATGTATTTTGTTGACTTGGATAAGAATTTTCTTTATCAGTTGAACTATTTTACCCATTTTAGATTTAAAATGTGGTTTTTGGTGATTTTTAATTGAGGAAAACTCTATGTACAATATAAATTACATCTACTGACTACATCTCAAATGTAATTTTCTTCAAAAAATCATTTTTATTGATTTATATTTTTATGATATGCATCTTTCTACTTCTAATTCCTGTAGTACCTATTACACTGTTGTCACTGATTTTTGCAAATTGATTATTTGCTTTCATCTAGTTATCCTTGTGTTACTCTGTTTGGAGTTTGCTGATATTCTTGAACCTATGAGTTTATCATTTTAAGAAATTTTGAGAAAATTTCAGCCTTATTTCTTCAAATATTTTGTTGTCTTCCATTCTTTTGGAACTCAATTATACATATGTTGGACTTTTGATTGAAGCTTTGCTCATTTTTTTCCAGTCTGTCTTTCTGTGTGCTTTATTTTGGATAACTTTTATTGGCATATTTTTGACATTGTAAAGTACACTGTTGTTTCCTTTTGTAGGGTCATAACTGTTAATTCTAATGGTTGTATTTCTTTTTGGAATATCAAGTTGTTTATTCATTGTGTGGATTGTGTACATGTGTGTATTCTTTTAGAGCAGTGGGATATTGCTGCTGGCATCTAGAGATAGAGGTCAAAAAGCTGCTGAACATCCTATAATTACTACTAAGAATTCTACCAGATACATAATAGCCCTACATGAAAAAGAATTACCCTGCTCAAAATGTCTGCTCTGAAGAATATTGGACCTAGCTCTGACATGGAGTTAAGTCATTTGAGACCAATTCATTCTATTCAAGGATGATTCTAACCCTTGTTAGTGAACATTTAGAACAAATTTTAGTTGCAGGAATAATTTGGTCCACTATTCATGCAAACCTCTGAATACTTTGTATCTTAAGAAATTACTTGCAAATTACTGAATTCCTTGTATCTTAAGCAACCTTTCTTCTCTGACCAGTGGGGCACAAAATATTTTCAGTACTGTGTGTTTTCTAAGAAGTATTCTGCTTACTCATATTCATTGTATTTTTTCTGGCATTGTGGAGTTTTACTCAATACATGTTCATATCAATATTCAACCAAAGATTGGATAATACTCTTATGCAGATTTCCAGAGCCCTTTTTTCTGACAATTTCTCATCCTATATTTTTTCCTGCAAATCCTACTTTCTAACCCTTTCTGGACTTTAATTTTTGCCTTTTCACTGCAGCAAAGCCACTGGGATTTGTTTATTTTTGACTGCCCATATTGCATCCTAGAAACTGCCTCCAGTAAGTAAGATGAAAGCTATCTTATGGTTTATCTGATTTGCTTCAGTTCTTTTGAAGATTATAGTCTTTCCTTTCATATTGTCTAAAGGCAGTTCTTTTATATATTTTGTATTTTCTCATTGTTTATCATGAGACTTCTGACAAATAGAAGTCTGAACATTACTGTGTATTATTGCATAAGATCTCTTTTTATTTTTAAACTTTAAATTCCAAACAGCTTTATAATAATAGCAGCATGCCTGATATTTTAAAGAATTTGTGTGAATATCAGTTTTTCCATCCCTATATTTTAAAATCTTTGTTCATTAAAGCACCTTTCTAAAATAAAAATATGTAGCTGAGTTTTGTTTTTGAAATTTAATGTTAGTACCATTGTTTTAATGTAGAATTTTGATCATTGTAATTTAGTATAATGTGTGATAAGCATAATTATTTTCTTCCATTTTACTCAATATTTCCTATTTATTTTAATTAGATGTTCCCTCTTTTACTTCTCTGGTTTTGATGACTTTAGCAAATGAATATTACCTTTCTTTCTCTAATTTGTAAGTCCTAATGTAGTTTTTGTTTCTGATAATGTACATGTTCCTTTCTTAGTTATCTTGTTTTAACATTTTAATTGTAAGGTATAACATAGTTACTTAAAAGTAATTCAACACATATGTGTGGTTTAAAAATATAAGTTAGAGGTGTAACTTGAAAGAACTGGAACACTTCTGGCATCTCAGAATCCATCTTATGGTTTCTTCTGTATCTTCTGAATCTTTCTAGCTTTCCAAAGGCAATGACTTTCTTGACTATAATGGTAATGATAGCTTTATGGTAAATAGTTTCATTTTGCCTATTATTGAACTTACTGTAAGTATAAAATTAAAGTATATATTCTCTACTATCTTTATTGTTTCACCTGATATTATGTTTGTAAAATTTTTCCATATTGCAATGTATGGCCACAATTTATTCATTGTTTTCTTTTTTTTTTTTTTTTTTTTTTTTAGAATTCTTTTTTTTTTTTTAATTTAAGAGGAAAAAGAGAAAAACACAAAACAAACCAAAGCGGCGTAAGGGTACACGCAATACAGAACTACAAAACAAAACAAAACAAAACAAAACAAAACAAAACAAAACAAAACAAAAAACCATAACAGTAAGAAATTACCTGCTAGTAGATTACACACTATTTTCTTGAAAATAGTTCCTCAAATCACAGTATCAAAGAACACAAGGTGGACATTCAAACAGGGAGACTGCAAACAGCTGTGTTCAATGATCCAAAAACATTGATATAGTCAGCTATTTAACACCCCTAAACACACTTGCTGTTATATCCATTAGAGCTGTTTTTCTTTTTTTTTTCCCTCTCTTTTTTACAACAAAATTTACACATTTTGGATTTTATTACACCTTAGTGCTTATTACTTTTGGGGGGGGGAGAATACAGTCAAATATGGCAAAACAAAGCTGTCAGTCAATACCAAGGATAGACATAGCACATGATGTAGAACAGAGTACAAGTTTATCAACAATGGTTATCAACGTTGTCCCTTGTTTCGTTAAAAAGAATTGTCTATCTTATTAGATATTATAAAGTTGGACAAAACAGTAGAGAACAAGACCAATAAAACTTAGGCATTGTAAACATTACAGGACTTCCAAAGAAGACAATAGTCAAACCAGAATGGGTATCTTAGTGAATCTTATTGTCTTCAAAGTAGTTGCCTATGTCTTCAAACTTGATACTATCATATAGAATGGAACAGAGTCTAATCAGTCAAAACAAGATCATGGGAGTACTACAGGACTTCAAAACAAGTTAATAGGAAATCGAAAAGAGTTACTATTTATATATCCTAATTTTTTTGAATTTTTTCTTTAATTAAGACAAACATAAGAAATGACTAAATAATTTTTTTTTGAAACAATAAGGGGGAGATTGAGATAAAACAGGACATAACAATATAACAATAGAGGTCACAGCATGACTGTTTCAATAACCTAGTACTTCACCACCTTATAACCTGACTTAATAGTAGTTACCATAGTGTCTTTTTCCTTGAAATATTTGGGTAAAACTTCATATACTCTAGCTTCAAATATTTTCATATCAAGAAGCCCAGAATAAAGCCTTTCTAATTAATGAGTGAAAATTTTATAAGGCTTCAAGGCCACCTAATGGGGAATCATGATTACCACATATTTTTATATATTTGAATCATTACTTACATTAGGGAAACTATTCGGTATTCACACATGCGAGATTGATTTATTTCACTTATGAGTATGGTCTCAAGCTGTGCCCATTTATTGATAAATATCTCAATGTGATCCTTCTTTATAGCTGAATAATACTCCATTGTATAGAAATACCACAACTTTTTTATCCATTCCTCAGTTGATGGGCACTTGGGTTGTTTCCAAGATCTGGCGATTACAAATTGTGCTGCTATAAACATAGGTGCACATATATCACTGTGGTATGATGCTTTCAGTTCTTCTGGGAATATGCCTAGAAGTGGAATAGCTGGAATACATGGGATTTCCAGTCCCAACTTTTTGAG